CATTGATACCGTATTGATTTACTCTACATACTCACAAAAATGTATCAAAATCAAAGAGTTCAGGTTCGCAGTGTTCCTTTTTTAATGTACAAGGGCAGACGGCGCCACTGCAGCTCTACTATATCGCGCGTGATTATTCACCAACGTTCTTTAATTAATATTTAAACTATTATTGTGAATATCACAAAACGATATAGGACTTTTATGCTCATCTCGACTTGTTCTACATTCCCACAAAATATGCGGAGGAGAGTCTGAGACACTCTGTAGATGCAGTTCAAATTATAATAAGATAAAATACCAATAGCTGGACATTGGTAATGTTTTGATCTTTAAATATGGATATTTATAAACTTTCAACATGAAATATATATATATATATATATATATATATATATATATATATATATATATACACACACATCCAGTATATGTACACAGGAAAAATATTTGATTGGATTAACCAAATATCTGGTGAAATATGAACGAACAAAAATATCGATTAATAAGTTATCAGAATTCTATTCATATTAATAAGATTCCTGATTAACACGATTTCTGAGTGCATTCTGATTTTTATTCTGTTAGTGTTAACTTGTATGTTAATTTGAACAGAATTCTTATAACTTAAAGCAAAAATTTTGATTTTGTTTCATTTTATCTAAAATTTTACTAAAAATTTGTTATTTTACTATTTTTTTATCTTGCTACAAACTTTTTACCTTACTACAAAAAAAGTCCAAAACTACACTAGAAAAGGGATTTTGTTGTCGAGGCGGAAATTTGATTCACCGGATCATAATTTGGTTAAGATGGAATCAATAAAATGTTTGGTATTTGCAATCAAAACATACAATTATTGCTGTATGCGTGTTTTACTTTCTCCATAATATATATATTTGATACAAGTAAGAAACATATAATGCCAACCAATTTGTATTGCCAAATATTTTAGTTTCAAATACAAAAATAATTTTTTCTGTGTCAAATTGAGTCCGATAGACTCTGATGTTACAGCAAGGCTTAAAAAGAATATTATCTGCCCGCGGTACGAGAAAGACTGTCCTGTTATAGCAAACGACTATTCATTAGTAAAAGTTGTATAAACTCGATCAGTTCTTAGTGAAGCTTTCATATCGATGGCTCTCTCTCTCTCTCTCTCTCTCTCTCTCTCTCTCTCTGACTCTCTGTCTGTGTCTGTCTCTCTGTCTCCTTTCTATCTGCGGTATTCCTCGTATTCCAAGAAATCTAATAAAATTCTACGCCAGCTCTGCCGTTTGTACCGAATAAAGCTAAAGTTACGCCTTGAATTCAGCTCAACCTTCTTTCGTCGTATTCGACTCTAGCTCGTCGTCGCAAGAAGACGCATCGACGAGCGCGCATTGTGGAGTCTCCTTATTCGGAGGACCACCGCGCGTGCACTCGTCGCATCATTGACACTGCTGCCGCGGCGGAGTTGTAGTAATTGCGTGAAATCGCGACCCGGGAAATCGCGAGTCGAGTTTCTGCGATTAACGAGCGTCGATCGCGCACGATTATGTCTATAAATAACGTTACGGGAGAAAGAAAGTCTGAATCGTGTCGATACACAGACCGCCACGGAACGCGACTTAAGCTCTAAGGAAACTAACTCGTTAGTGAATTTAAGAAGTAATGACTTTATAATGACAACTGAAAAAATTGTCGTTGTTTTCTAATTATTTCACAATTAATGTCGCCCTATTATTACAAAGGGAACTGACTCTCAAGGAGTTCAGCAACACGCTTTTCCTCCTCTCTTTCTTTTTTTTTAATGTCCTTTACAGCTGGCGCTAACACGTGTATCTTAGTCGCATGTGGAATTAATGCGCTCGGCGGTTCGTTAATTAGTTCGTCCGCGAACACAACCACGTGCAAACCACGACGATTCGAATCCCCGGAGCGAAACTGAACGAATGACTTGGAGCACTGTCTCGAGGAACGTTGTGTGCTACTTCTTATTGATGTTACTTTATTATCGTGAGAATGCGGACTCGTATATCATTATAAGATATTCCAAATTTGCGTTATCTATATATACAGGGTGACTAATGGAAATGTGGTTATTACTTCGTAACAAATGAATGGAATGAATAAAATGCCATTTTGTAGGAAACTATAGCATATATATATAGGGTGTCCCGCCACTATCGCATTATCTCTTAAGGACGGATTTCTGAGGTAATTTGAAGAAAAAAATCCTAATACAAAAATATCGAAGCTACAATACTTTTCAAATTATAAACGATTAAAGTTGACCAATTATATTGGCTAAAGTACGCACACTCAGATACGGTACAACACACAATGGTACAATACTTATGTGCATGCACATAAGTGAAAATTTGTATAAGATATGAAATTAGTTGTAAATCTTTGAAAGAAACGTCAAATGTGTGACAGTTTATTGATTTTCATAAATGTATTGTGTGATATTTTATTCATAACATTTTGACGAAATTGTTATATTTGCGATATGC